TCCTGCACCCCGCCCAGGTAGCTCCTGTCCCACCCCCTGCCCCACTCCTTCCCTCACCGTGGGGGCCTTGATCTGCCCCCCATGCCCTTTCCCTCCCCCCAACATCCTTTCCCCCCACAGACTTACCGGTCAGAAGCTGCTCTCCAAGCTGCCAGGCTGCATTCCTGGCTGTGTGCGTGCTGCATCTGCGCACATGCACGCAGCATTTATCGGAGACATTAATCAGCCACATTAATTGGCCATGTCAGCCAAAAAAAGCCAGTTGCTGATAATGTCAATTTACCTTTTATCGGTGCCAATATGATATGGACTGATATATCGGTCCACCTCTACTCTTGCAGGAAAAAAAATGTATAAGACAGCATTGGTAATAGCTGCATATTACTTAACAAACTCTGTTTCCTAGAACCTGTGAGAAGAATGAATGTTTGAAGGGCAAGAGCCTCATTTTCAACTAAACAAAAATGCTGTTTAAAAATAAATAAATAACTTTTTAGAGAGAGGCACTTCTCCTTGTAAATGTAAAATCTCACATGCCAGTTAGAAAGGAATAGGATGCAAATAGCCTAAATGAAGAAAAAAAGTTTTGTGGTCAAAATTTTCCAAAATGACTAGTAATGTAGAGTGCTAAGCTTAAAGCAGATTGAAAGAGCCAGGGATTCAGTCAATAATGAGCATATCCTTGCTGAAAGTGAGGTTGCTTCAAAACATCACTAGCTGAAAATTCCAAAACTGCACTACTCACTTAAAAAAATCTTGGTCAGTGTTGCTACCATGGGTGCCAGGATAAGAGGCAGGGCTCTTACGGTGCTTGAACAAGCTTCCAGAATTACAACTTTTTCTGAATCGCCATAGATATACTAGTGGTACAGCAATGTAACTTCTAGCAACAGCAAGAATAGTAGGAGTGTGTGTGCACACGCACGTGTCTCAAGTCTGAGGAAGTTGTTTCAGGGCTAGAAGAACAGTAGGCAAGTTTCGAGAAGGCTCTGTGTGAGGCAGTCTTAATTGCATTCTTGTCCCTAAACTATTTTTTAACATGTCAACTAAGCTATTCCTAAAGATCATGCTCCATCTTCACAGACAGGTAATATGGTGCCACATGACACCATCATTTGGGTCAACGTGTGCTTCAAATGGGTACTCTCAAAGGTATACAGTAGATGAGACTGGTAGCCTACTGATCTGAAACAATACAATACAGTGTACTGGATAACATTTTTCTGTTTCTCAGAACACCCTGATTATCTGTATGTATGTATCGCAGATGTTTCCAATACTAAATCTCTTACTACTGCCACCACTATAGAATTTGTGCTGAAATGGGACAAAGTTAAGTGCAGGATCTGGACGTACTAGTCTTGTGTCTGGAAACTTTCTAGGTATGCATTTTATGGTACTTGAAAAATTCAGTTAGCCTGTGGATCAAGCCTACAAGGCATTGAGCATACCTTCACAGATACTGATCATTTTCAGAACTTTAAGCCAGGTATATTCAGTTTCTCCTGAAAGTCACTGCTCTCCCAGGAGAAACCACAGGTACACAGATGTTCAGGCTTTTTCCCCCAGAAGAAAAATAGGTGCTCCAGAAGACAAATAACCCAGGAACAAGGGTTAAATCATTCTCAGGAGAGTTTCTCTTGAGAAAGTGAATGTCTGTACATACTCTCTTCTGACAAAAGCCACAGCACAGTTCTTCAACATCCCAGAGTGCTTTGCTGTCACTCACTGGACTCTGCTGCTCCAGCTTACCACAGGACAGAACACACCCCTTTCAAAAATCCCACATCGGGCTGCAGGGGAATACAGGCAGTTTGGGTCAGCCAGTCAGGGCTGGCCCTGTGCACTGCTGCCATTCCAGACTGAGGGATCCTGTAGAGTATGCCGAGATGTATCCAGAGAATCCCCTTGGCTGCACAGCATCAGCACTGCAAGCTCTCAGCTAGTCAGGGGCTGAGCATTCAAATGTCTGTTTAGGCATCTCCTAGTAAGATTTTCTACCAGGAGAACAAATCTGGGAGAATTCTCCCAAATCATTTGAATGTCTGTATGTAGCCTTAGTTTTGTTTGATACAAGACATCGAAAGGGGCTCCTCTTTGATAATGTTATGGTGTTGTATTACCCACAAATGAAAAATTCCCAAGTCTCATAGTTAGCTGCTTTATTTCTTCTAAGGAAGGATTATGAAGCAGCTCTTGGAATTTCCCATGGTCTTAAAATTCATACAGTATACAGCAGAGCCAAAAGCTATAATCATCCTGGAAAAAAATGTTCTTTTAATCCTGGCTATTCCATAATACAGTTATACAAAGAAAAATACTGAAAGAACATGCAATGTATACAGAGATACTGCTGGAAGGTTCTGTGTGTGGTGAAAACAAAGTTAAACACAAATGTATGTAGTTCATAAGAGAAACACCCAAACATACTAACAACACTCTTAATTAAAACAGTACAGTCAAGCAGAAGGAAATCAACTGGCTGGATGGCAGCACTACAAAGAAGGACCTAGGAATTGTGGTGAATCACAGACTCAGTGTAAGTCTGCAGTGTGAGACAACTGCACAGAAGGCGAATGTGATTTCGGGCTACGTTAGTAGGATCTGTAGGTGCAAGACACAAGACACAAATGATGGTGCCTCTTTACTTGGCATTGGTTAGGCCTCATCTACACTACTGTATGCAGTTCTGGGATCCACATTTTAAAAAGGAGATGGAGAAGCTAGGGTCCAGAGGCAGGCAACAAAAATGATAAGGGCTTGGAAGGCAAGCCATACAAGGAGAGGTTAAAAGAAAAAGGTATGTTACAGAAAAGATGATTAAGAGGGAAAATGATAGGAATCTTCAAATACCTGGAGGGCTGTCCGATATAGGGAGAGCACGTTTTCTTTCTTGCTTCAAAGAACAAAACAAAGACCAATATCCTGATGTTGCTAGGTTTAGATTGGGTGTTGGGAAAAACTTTTTCACTGTTAGAACAGTGAGGCAGTGGAATAGACTGCGTAGGGAAGTTGTGGAATCTCCATCATTGGAAGTGCTCAAGAAGAGTGTGGATAAGCATTGGTCAGGGATGATCTAGGAGTAGATATGCCTATGCTATGCTATGGGTATTACTACTGGACTTTGCTACTGGACTTTGATGGTTGATGCAAAGGACTAGGAAGGAATTTTTTTCCACTTTCGTTGCTACATGTCAAGGGGTTTGCTTTCACCTTCCTCAGAAGGAAGGAGTATTGGCTGCAGCCAATTTAACTCAAGTGTGCCAACACTCTTGCTGGGACTAAAACCCAGAGGGGTTCCTGGCTAGAGTATCCTGCCCTTCTTCTCAGGGTCAAAACAACTGCCACCTCTGGGGTCAAGAAGGAATTTTACCCCATGGTCAGATTGGTATGGACTATAGGGGTGTTCACCTTTGTCTATAGTGGGGAGTGTGACCCCCCCCCTTTTTTAATCTCTTTCAAGTATTTTAACAACCCTTGCAGCAGCAGGACACTTGACTACTCTCATCTCCCTGCTTTACCTGTGCTAGATTAGGGTACTATGCCTTGTAGATTGTGTAGTTTTAGTAACAGGTTAGACAAGGATTTGTATGGGAAGGTTTGAATAGGGACTGCTCAGGCAGGAGGTTGGACTAGATCAGAGGTAGACAACATTTTTGGGCAGAATGTGAAAAATACCTGCAGCCTCAACCTGTAAGATACTGGTGTGCCAAGGGCGGATAGCTGTGGAGATTTAAGGGGCCTGATCCTTGTTGTGGCAGTGCAGCCCCAGCCCCTTCTCCACTGTCTATCTTGACGTGCATGTGCCAAGCAAAATGCCTTCGCATGCCATGCTCTGGCACCCATGCCGGAGGTTGCCTACCCTGGTCTTGATAACCTTCAGAAGTCCCTTCCAGCCCTACTTTTCCAAGATTCTATGATTCTCAGCTTAGTTGTTATGTTCAGCCTAACAAAAAAATAGGAACAAATTCAGAACTACAAGTCTATCAGCCATTTCTAATAATGCAAGTTATGAATGCATCAAGTGACCTGATGCACAAAGCACACAAATCATGGATCACTCAAGGAACAATCAAAAGGCATCAGGGGAACAAGTATCAACAAGAAAATGAGCCTTTACATGTTACATTATCCCTTGCCTCATTACTGGCTAATGCATCATCTTAAATGTACTTAGTAAGGTGATAACTAATCAGTAATATCAAAACAATCCAGCTACTTTAAGAGCTAATATTCTTTTGGTCCCTTAATTAGGCTTGCAAAAGATCCATATGCTCCACTAATGTTCACACATGACAGAGGGATATTATCCTGGGATTTTGGATGATACTGTTTGAAGAAGTCAAAAAATTGAGCTTGGCTCGTTCCTGTCTTCTGCCTTGGCTGGCTGGGAATTTGAATTCCAAGTTTTAAAAAGGAAGAGTGAAAATATCTTATCAACTATGTTTCCCCACCCCAGGCTTCTGTGGGAAGTATTATTTTTTACCCTTATGTATTTCAAATGTCCATGAGTTTATTAAACTGAAAATGCATTGCCACGTCCTTACCCCAGCTTTGCAATCATGACATTATTTTAAAAAAACAGGACCCATCAGATTGAATGCCACCAAACATGTACCTTATCCTTTAGCGCAAATATATTTTGCATGACCTTACATGAATTGCTTAGATAAAAGCTTTTTTTCTTCTACTTTTGTTATTTTAAAGTGCAGATGCATTTGAGTCATTTTCCCCTTTTGTTTCTTATCCTTAAGATCCACAGCTTCAAAGACAAAATGTCAGCATGCAGTCGATTGATGACTGAACTCTTGAAGAGACACTGAAGAATTACCTTGTCAATCACCCCAAGGACTCGGAAGGCCTTCAGTTCCTCGGCAGGGCTCCTTAGGTTCCAAGAGGGCCTTGAACTTAGTGATCCTAGAGGCTAATGGAAGATATCAAAGATTATACATCAATCAGGGTGGTACTTGAAGGAAGACT